GAGTGAAGAAAAAATTTGGATAAGATGTGCTTTGTTCTGTCGCCTTTGATGTATCCTTCCTTAAGTTGAGCAATACAAGCAGCGTTATCCTCATATAAAGTTGTTGGTGCCTCTTTCCCAGAAGATAAACCACAAACTTCTTTTATATGTTGAACTATCGACCTTAACCATACACATTCACGACTAGCCTCGTGAATTGCTAAAATCTCATAATGATTGGAAGAAGTAGCTGCAATGGTTTGTTTCATGGAACGCCAAGAAATGGCAGTACCACCATATGTGAACACATATCCAGTTTGTGACCGACCATTATGAGGATCAGATAAATAACCTGCATCTGCAAAACCAATCAAATTTTCTTTGGACAACTTTGGGAAAAATAAACCCATATCCTTCGTACCTTGAAGGTAACGAAGTAAATGTTTAATCCCATTCCAATGCCTTCGGGTTGGACATGAACTAAACCTTGCTAATAAATTAACTGAAAATGATATATCAGGTCGTGTATGACTTACAAGGTACATTAGTGCTCCAATTGCACTAAGATACGGTACTTCAGGACCAAGAATTTCTTCATCATTTTCCCGAGGTCGGAATGGATCTTTCTCTACTTCAAGTGATCTTACAACCATAGGGCTGCTTAATGGATGTGATGTATCCAAAGAAAATCTTTTAAGAACCTTTTCTATGTATGTTGATTGATGCACAAGGATTCCATTCTCTAGGTGCTCTATTTGTAACCCCAAGCAGAATTTTGTCTTTCCTAGATCTTTCATTTCAAACTCTTTCTTTAAATAATTGATAGTCACTGAAATCTCTTCAGGAGTTCCAATGATATTTAAATCATCAACATACACTGCAATTATAACAAATCCTGATCCAAATTTTTTTATAAAAATACATGGGCTGATAGGATCATTCTTATAACCTTCTTTCAACAAATACTCACTTAGACGGTTATACCACATACGCCCAGATTGTTTCAATCCATAAAGAGATTTGTTTAATTTAATACATAAATGTTCTCGAGAACTAGATTTTACTGCTTCTGGCAGCTTGAATCCTTCTGGGAGCTTCATGTAAATGTCATTATCCAGTGGGCAATATAAATAAGCTGTGACTACATCCATCAAACGTAAGTCAAGTCCTTCTCTTATTGTCAGACTAATCAAAAATCTAAAAGTAGTTGCATCCACCACAGGAGAATATGTCTCCTCATAATTAATACCAGGTCTTTGTGAGAATCCTTGTGCAACTAAGTATGCCTTATATCTTACAACTTCACCTTTTTCATTTCTCTTTCGCACAAAGGCCCATTTATATCCCACTGGCTTTACACCTTCAGGTGTACGGACTACTGGTCCAAATACTTCTCTTTTTCCAAGAGATTTTAATTCTGCTTCAATTTCTTCTTTCCATTTTGGCCAATCATTTCTTTGTCTACATTCTTCAATGGATTTTGGTTCATGATCCTCATTATTATCCATAACATCTAATGCTACATTGCATGCAAAAACATCATCGACGTCGATTTGATTTCGGTTCCATGTAATTCCAGACATGATATAATTTATTGAAATTTCTTCATTATCAGGTACCTGAATTTCTTCTTGTATCATGTCTAAAGTCTCTTCTGGAGATCTCTCGAAAATTGTTTCTTCAAGTTGACCATCATCAATCAATGCTCCTTTTCTTTTCCGAGGATTCTTATCTTTGGAACCTATTGGTCTTCCACATTTCTGGCGTGGTTTAGACTCATTAGCAATTTTATTTTGTCCTTCCGAGACATCTATTTTAAATGGAGCATTAACAGCTGGAATATGTGACTTGGTCACTCTTTTTGGGTCAGCAAACGAGTCTGGCAATTGATTCGCTAAACTTTGTAAATGAATTATCTTTTGAACTTCCAGTTCACATTGTTTAGTTCGAGGATCAAGATAGGATAATGATAATTCATTCCATTTAATTTCATTTTCCAGCTCTCTCTTTTCTCCCCCTAATGTTGGGAAAAGTGACTCGTTAAAATGACAATCTGCAAAACGAGCCGTAAATAAATCCCCTGTTGTAGGCTCAAGATATTTAATTATTGACGGGGATTCAAACCCAACATATATCCCCAACCTCCTTTGAGGACCCATCTTAGTGCGTTGTGGTGGAGCTATTGGAACATAAACCGCACATCCAAAAATTCTTAGATGGGAAATATTTGGTTCCTGGCCATAAACCAATTGTAATGGGGAGAAAACTTGTGATAACTTGTTGGCCTAATGCGAATTAGTGTTGTTGCATGTAATATAGCATGTCCCCAAGCAGAAATTGGGAGATTGGATTTCATAAGCAATGGTCTAGCAATTAACTGAATACGTTTTATTAATGACTCTGCTAGACCGTTTTGTGTATGAACATGTGCTACAGGATGTTCAACATTTATCCCAATGGACATGCAATAATCATTAAAAGCTTGAGATGTAAATTCACCAGCATTGTCAAGCCGAATAGTCTTAATGGGTGTATGTGGAAAATGTGCCCGTAACTTAATCAATTGGGCAAGTAATCTCGCAAACGCCAGGTTACGAGTTGATAACAAAGACACATGTGACCATCTATTTGATGCATCAATTAAAACCATAAAATATCTAAATGGTCCACATGGGGGATGTATGGGCCCACAAATATCTCCTTGTATACGTTCCAGAAAACTAATTGATTCAAAATTAATTTTAGCTGGTGATGGGCGAATAATCAACTTGCCTTCCGAGCAAGCAGCACATGAAAAATTATTATGAAGAATCTGTTGGCTCTTCAAAGAATGTCCACATGAATTTATAATTATTTTTCGCATCATTATTGAACCAGGATGGCCTAACCGGTCATGCCAAACAACAAAATCATCAGTAAACTTCTGGTTTACTATAGGATGAGATTCAATAGCATTGATTTTTGTGTAGTACAAACCACTAGAGAATGTAGGTAGTTTCTCCAAAACATGTTTTGAGCCTTGAGTTATATTTGTGATTTGAAGGAATTCATTATTTTCTTCATTGATTGTCTCAATATGATAACCATTGTTGCGAATATCCTTAAAACTTAATAAATTTCTTTGAGACAATGGGGAGTATAAAGCATCAATTATTTTAATTTCAGTTCCCCAAGGCAACTTTATAGTGGCTCTTCCGGAGCCCTCAATGATATTTGTACTACCCGATATGGTACTTACATTAATCCTTTCATCATCAAATGAGAGAAATATTTTTTATGTTTAAGTATTGTATGTGTAGTTGCACTGTCAGCAAGACATAATTCTTCACCATTCATAGCAAATTGAACTTGAGTAATATCCATGTTCTTCATGAAATAAAATACATGTCAAAATATTAAGCATAAAAATAAAGATGATAAAACAAATAAATCAATAAAAACACTCAAATAGTTCATAAATTTATAAAGCAAAAATCCTTATTACAACGAAAGAAATAAACTTAAACAAATCACTAGAATAAGCAAACATAAGTCTAATACTTAAAACTAACATAAAACAATATAATTTTAATTATTCCCTTCTGGGGCAGTGAAGAAATCGGCAACATCTAAATGAGTAGTACTGCCAAAATCAAAATTATTCCCTTCTGGGAAAGTAAGGAAATCACCAACATCAAATTGATTAGCATTGCCAAAATCAAAATCACCTTCACCATCTTCAAGAACAAGGTTTGCCTCAACTTTCTTTCCTTTCTTCAATGATTCTTGGTAAAGTTCAATAAGATGCTTTGGAGTTCTACAAACCCGAGACCAATGACCTTTTCCTCCACAACGGTAACATATATTGTTATCACTTTTCTCTTTTTCATCCCTACGTTCCCACTTCTGGTGGGAATGTGAGTTTGTGAAATGACCTCCACGACCTCTACCATATCCACGTCCACGACCCCGACCGCGCCATTGGCCACGACCACGACCTCTACCTCTACCACTATTGCTAGAATGGTCTCTGTTTTTAGTTTCTTTCCCGTTATGGGTTGTCACATTCGCTTCAGGGAATGGAGTAGAGCCAGTAGGACACGATTCATGATTTTTCATTAATAGCTCGTTATTTTGCTCAGCCACAAGAAGACAAGATATTAATTCAGAATATTTTTTAAAACCTTTTTCTCGATATTGTGTCTGCAGGACAATATTATTAGCATGGAAAGTGGAATATGTCTTTTCAAGCATTTCTGCATCAGTAATATTTTCTCCACATAATTTCAATTGAGAAGTTATTTTAAACATAGCTGAGTTATATTCACTAACAGATTTAAAATCTTGCAATCTCAAATTCAACCATTCATAACGAGCTCTAGGGAGTATCACTATTTTTTGGTGGTCATACCTTTCCTTTAGATTACTCCAAAGGATTTGTGGGTCTTTCACAGTTAAATATTCATTTTTGAGCCCTTCATGGAGGTGATGGCGAAGAAAAATCATGGCTTTAGCCTTATCTTGAGGTGTTGCCTTATTAGCCTCTTTTATTGTTTCACCAAGCCCTTTAGCATCTAGGTGTATTTCAGCATCTAACACCCATGATAAATAATTCTTTCCGGTAATATCAAGGGCCACAAATTCGAGTTTGGCAAGGTTCGACATTTTTCACTATACAAAATAATATTAAAAGGTGAGTATATATAAATAGTATCCAAAATATGTACTAAACGTTATAATCATGCATAAATAATCCTGATACAAGTCATGCATAAATAAGAACGAAATAGAAGATGAGAACTTTAGCATGGAGAAAAATAAGAATGGAACCTTAAATTATTTATCATGCTCTGTATTCGTTATATATGTTGATATTCCAATAAATAAGCATGTAAAATTAGATAAATGTTAAATTATAATTGTTATGGGCTACGATCATACTTACATGATAATAATAATATGGGAATATAGAAAAATGTTTGGTAATCCTACTCGTTGACTAGCAATGGTGCTGATAACGTGTTAAATATAGAAGAGAAAATAAAGAGAGATGAGGGAAGATTTTTTACGTTGTATTTTATATTCCATCTACTACGGGATATATATAATGTACATTTTCTAGGGTTCCATCAATGGATAAGACCAAATACCCAACTGTAGAATATTCTAAGTTGTACATGGATAATAGTCATCCATATTTAGATATTATCATAATAATAATAAAAAAATAAAAAAAAAGCAGAGTATGGGTTAACTCAAGCCAGGTATAATTTGAGCATGACTTGAACTCTTGAAGCCGTTCAAGGAATGTACTCCGGTAAGACATGTTTGATAGAGCTGCCAATATTTCATGAATTGTTCAGGTATGTGTTCAAAAAGGGTCTCAACAATAGATGCTCCTGCTACCATAAATAATAATGTTAAAACAAGCTTATTCTTTATAAAATATTCAATAAATATTGTATATAATACTTCCAATTTAAAAATCATTAAAAGCCACCGTGCGTTAAATAGTAGAATGTAATTTATTTATTTATTTATTTATTTTTTTTGATGAAGAAAAGAATATAAAAGTTTTTCTAATATAACTAAACTTACCCCAATATATTAATGAAAGTCTGCTATGCACATTGTTTTTTAAAAAAATTCTCAAAAAAACAAAAAATAATTTTTGTAATTAGATCATAGATATTTGTTATTGCTTTTTTTTTTTGGAAAGATTTGTTATTGCTTGTTTAAGATAATTTTAATAATGTTATGTAATTCATAATGAGACCTTATTACTTGATATTAGTTATGAGGAAATTGAATTTCTAATTTATAACTAAATTACATATAATAATATATGATATCTCATTTGTTAGATATTCAAATAAATAATTTATGTTAATTTTTTTTTTGTTTTATTAAATAATTTAAATCCTAAATCATTATTCGTAGTTTTTGTTTAACCTTTGTGGCTCATAAAATTAAACCCTCAAATCTCATTTGTTAATTTTGTTTATTTAGCAATTGATTTTTTTAATTTTAAAATAAAATATAAATTTTTTTATTGGTCAAAAAAATACTTTGTAAATATGTTATATTGTCCATGAGATATTAGGATAAAATTTTAAATGTAAAAAGATATTTTTTTAAAAAAAAAATAATTTAAATCCTTAATCGTGTATATATATATCATGGCAATATATTAAAATCATCAAACCTTATTCGTTAATTTTACGTATGTTAATGCACATTATATTCAAAATATATACACATAAAATTTGAGTCTTTTTTTTTTATTTATTTTTGTCATTTATTACAAAGTTGTGCACATAAAATCCTTCACATTTGAAGGAACTTCTCATTTTACCCCAAATATATAATGATTTATTTTATATCTTAAAATTGAGTACATCACAATACAGGTAATGTTTACATATAAAAAGAAAGTAGAGATAAGCCCGTGCGATGCACGGTTCCACTAAATCATTTTATTTAATTTAAAATTTTTTATATTTATGAAGATCATTCATTAGATATATTGATAAATTTCCTAACATCATAAGATAATTTTAAAATTTTAATACTAAAATTATCTTTTGTTGTTTTAAAATCCCAAACTAACCTTATTCATTAATTTTGCTTATGTGACAATTTCAATTTTTAATTCAAAAAAAAATAAAAAATCTTGTTTTTTTTATTGATTAAAATAAGTCTTTTGCCTATGAGTTTATTTGAATATACTCGTTCTGTTTAAAATGTTAGTCTCATTTATAATTTTTTAGCTATTAAAAATTATGGGGAATTAGTAATATGAGATTTAATTTGATTCGTATCGATGTACATTATAAAATCAAACTTTTATAATATTTGCTAGGGAGAGATTACAGATATTTGCGATAAAAAATTTTCATGCATATATGTAAAAAAAGATAAGTATTACTTTTCTTTTTTTTTTTTTGTTTTTTTTTTGAGAGAAGATAAGTATTGGTTTTTTAAATAATTTAAATTTTAACTATTCACTATTCCTTGTTTTTACCTATGTGTCAAAATTCTTAAATTTTATTCGTCACTTTTGCTTAGGTGGCGAGTAAATTTTTTAATTCTAAATAAATTATTAGTCTAATTTTTCATTGGACAAAATAATACCTAATCTTATGTGGCACACCGAATGCTCTTTAAAAATGCCTACTTTATTTGTATATACTAGATGTAAGCCCGTGCGATGCACGGTTCTAGTAAATCATTTTAATTTAATTTAAAATTTTGTATATTTATGAATATCATTCATTAGATTTATGGATAAAATTCTTAATATCATAAGATAATTTTTTAATTTTAACACTATTGTTATCTTGTGTTGTTTTATTTATTTTATGTGATGCTTGTATTTAAAATCTCAAACCTTATTCACTAATTTTGCTTATGTGACAAGTTAAATTTTTAATTCAAAAATGTAATGACAAATCTTTTTTTTTATTGACCAAAATAAGTCTTTTGCTTATGCGTTTATTTAATATACTCGTTCTGTTTAAAATGTTAGTCTCATGTATAATTATTTAACTATTAAAAATTATGGGAAAATAGTCATCCAAGATTTAGTTTTATTCGTCTCGATGATTACAATATTAAAATCAAACTTTTATAATATTTTCTAGGGAGAGATTAAAGATATTTGCGATCAAAAATTTGCATCCATAAATGTAAAAAAGATATATATATATATATATATTTTTTTTTTTTTTTTTGGTGAGAAGATAATTATTGGTTTTTAAAAATAATTTAAAATTTAATTATTCTTTATTCGTTGTTTTACCTATGTGTCAAAATTCTTAATTTTTATTCGTCACTTTTGCTTAGGTGGCGAGTAAAATTTTAATTCTAAAATAAATTATTAATCTAATTTTTCATTGGACAAAATAAGACCTAATCTTATGTGGCGCACCGAATGCTCTCCAAAAATGCCTACTTTATTTATATATATTAGATTAGATTTTTTTTTTTTTTTTTTTTTTTTTTTTTTTTTTTTATGGAGTAGGAAAAATCACAAGTAATTGACGATAGGTGTCATTTATACTGTAATACTTTATTTTAAATTATACTTCATTCGTTTCATATTGTTTGATATAATTTCTTTAGATATATTTTCCGATGCAAAGTTTAAATGTAAATATCTTTAATTACGTGTTAGCAAAATTATAAAAATTTGATATTGAAATACGGACCTTGAGACAAATCTAACAGAACCCAACATGATCATGTTTTTTCTTACACTAAATCCCAAAATGAAAAATTGACATAAATAATCCGAACTTCGAATCATCTTGTAGTAAAAATAATTCTTACTTTTGATTATTCTTGAATAATCTCAACTTATATAAGTATCTTCTTATAATAATCCGCTTTTTTATTTTTGTTATATTTAATAGTTCCAAAAGGATCAGCAAAAGCAAAAAAAAATAACACTTTGCATTGGGGTTATTCAAAGAAAATTGACCAAAATTGAAATTATTAAAATAAATTTTTCCATCACAAAATGTACTTTATGTAAATAACATATAAGGTTAAAACGTATCAAATAAAAAGAAATGCGAAAGACCAAAGTATACATCATGTAATATCAAATAACTTAAGAAGTGTTATCCAGACTCACCAGGAACTTCATTGATTGACATAAACGTTACCATGTCTCTTGTTGCTACACGCCCTTCGCAACTTTCCAATGGATGTCCATTGTCACGAATAAGATTCGTCTGCCATTATCAAATCAACATATATAAGATTATGATACATATACAAGTTAACAACATTACAATTTAGACCCGTTAATCCTGACCCAAACCCGATAACACAATTTGAATGACTTATCTCATGATCCGAAATCGACCCTAAATAAAAGACCCAAAGTTGACGTGATATCTAAAGTGACCCAACCTGAACTTAACCCAAATTAATAGATCCAAACAAATCCGAAATTGGAAATGACCCGAACTAAAATTAACTTATACTCAAATTGACCTGAACAAAACTTATGCCCAAGTACTAAACCCGAATCGAACGAAATTGAAAATAAACGCAATCAAATTGACTTGATATATTATTAATTTATTTGTAATATTTAACAACCTGACCCGACATTTGGACCCAAAATTTGATACGACTTGAATTGACCTAACCCGGCCCAAACTTGACCCAATCAAAACTTGACACGATACCTAACGTGACCCGATAATTTAGTGACCCAAATTCAACCTAAAACTTTAAATGACCCAATCATAACTTGACCGATAATTTATTGACCCAAACTTGATCTTACCTAAAATAAGTCGACCCATACCCAAACCGAATAACCTATTTACCATGTCTACCACAACTTAACCCAAAGCCTTGTAAGAAAGCTAGGGTGTATATACAGTGTACTATTTTACTTTACTTTTGTTTGTTTGCTTACCTTCATTTCCTTGAAATCGACATCACCCACGCCAACGATGAGGATTGACAAGGGCAAAGCAGACGCTTTTACCAAAGATTTAATAGTTGGTTGAATATCAAATAAGTCTCCATCCTTCAAAATATACCCAATTCATGCAACGTTAGCAACGATTTATACTTCTTCTAATGGGTGGTTCTTACACTCGGGTGTACCATGCACATGGTACACCCGAATTAAATCAGAAAGAACATTGTACATAATTATAAACAACATCATGAATATGTAAAGGAGCATATTACTGAAATATAAAGAACACAATAATTTTTGTGCATAGTTTTTTTTTTTTTTTTTTTTTTTTTTTTTTTTTTTTTTTTTTTGAATAGGAGCATAGTTTTAAAATAAGGTAAAAGATAACTATTAATTGATTTTTACCAAAAAATTTAATTCAAATCATTTCAAATATAAAAAATTCTTCTATTTACAATTATTTTCGCTCAAATATACTTCAAAATTTCATTTTTAAATTTCAAAATTTAAAAATATACTACTATTTAAATAAAAATATCATAATTTGTATTATTGATACCCAAAGAACATAATTAATTTATATACCTTAATAAACATTGTTTGTAACGTAAAGAACATATAGTAGACTTAAAAAACATATTGATTAAATTTCAGAAACATATTTCATTCAAATTAAAAAGTGATAAAAGAACATTTATCAGAATATAAAGAACATCATCTTCAACCTTAGAAAATATAACACTAGAATAGAGAAGTAAATATCAAGAAGAAGAAAAAATTGTAAATTACCTTTTTCCCTCAACAATGAATTCATCAATTACATCTTTTAATTAAAAGATTCATCAATATGATATAATTAACTCCGTAATTTCATTAAATCTCTTCAAAATTCAAATTTTATTATGATTTTTCTCTATATAAACTCAATTTCTCTCTCTTAACAAAAAATGAAATTTTGTTTATCAAAAGTGATATAAAATGTAAATAATAAATCAAGGAATAAATCAAGGAAAAAAAATAACAAATCAGTCCCCTTAAATCAAGGAGGGAATCATTTTGAATTTTTTTTGCTCGTGTACTTTGTAATTGTACACAATGTTCTTTCCACGTTTTTATAATCCTTGTATTTTGACTAGGTGTACCATGAGCATGGTACACTTGGGTTTATGATGAAATTTTCACTCCTTTTAAACTGGAAATAGAAAGTCCAATTATCTGTTGTAGTAGTAATAATTTTTATTACGATATGAAAGTGTTATATAAATCAGAATAGTAAGATGAACATATGTATGTATATTATATATGTCTCTTCGGTTGCTGAAAAAAAAATCAATAATAAAAACCATATAACTCGATTAATCATTGAAAAATAATTATAAATATTTTAAGTTAAAAAATGAATGGAAATATTAAATTGAAGTGATGGATAAAAGTGGGCCACGGAAAATATGATACTTCCTTCGGTCCAGGTTAGTTGCAACTTTTGCCATTTTGGGCTGGTCTTAGTTAGTTGCAACTTTCCCATTTATTTATTTTTATGGTAAATTTTTTTTGGTAAAATTACAATTTTACCCTTATTTGTCTTTTAAACCTACCTTATTAAACTACTAACATAATCTAACTACACTACTTAACTGATTAATTATGTTAATCATTCCCACCAAAAAAAAAACCCCAACTCTTTAAATTCTTCATCATCCCAACCAACTCCATTGAATGCTCCTTCATTCAATTGATCTGATGAATATGGTTGACTGCATTTAGTCTGGAGAATTCTCCAGATTATTACCCCCCCCCCAAAACCCTAGTTCATCTTTTTCTCACTCCTCAGTCTTTGCCGTTTTGCATCCTCTCTCTCTCTCTTTCTCTCTATCTGTTTCGCCCACTCTCTCTCTTCTGGATCTTTGGTTTCTCCTTCCACTCTTCGTGAAATTTTCTCCAATTCTTCTTGAGTCCCAAAATGTCGAATCCTGATGAAAAAGAAATTGATTTGCTTTGCCATGAGACCCTAGAACATTCTGGTTCAAAGCGTCGATCAGGCGTTGTGACCTACAAGCCACAACGGGGAACGGGTATCATGAAACCCGTTCGTCGTGCCTCAATTATTGCGAGGAAGAGGATACGCGGTGCAAAGCTGGTTGAATATGTGAGCGACAATGAGGAGAAGCCTGCGGATCTGGTCCCTGAACCTTCGGCAGCAGAGGAACCACCACTTAAGGTGGTTCCAATTCAAGTGGTGCTCCCTGAGCCCAAGCCTGAATTCGTGGAGGTCGAGGTCTCCGCTGCTGGATCTGCTACTAGGGAGTCAAACCCAGTAGATCTGGAGGCTGGAGAGGTGGAGAAGCCACCTGAGTCCCTTGCTGACGGTGAAGGCCCCTCTTCTGGTGCGAAGCGCATCAGATCTGGTCCTCCAGAAGGGATGTCCAGGGAAGAGGTGATTGAGGCGTACCTGTTGACTTACTACCCTCAGTTATACCCTCCTCCTAACTGATTGAGCAGCGTATACTCTAAAACCCTAAATTTTTTCATTTCTTTTGTCTTTGGTTAGATCTGTTTTGATTTTGATGTTGTATGTGTGATTTGGATACATCTTTGCTGTGTTGTTAGTGTTGATTCTGGTAATTGTTAGTGTTGTCGGTGTATGCTGCAGAGGTTGTGGTGTATGGTGCTTGGATTTTGTTAGTGTTGTTGATTCTGGTGAACTGAACTGAACTGATTGGAGCTGAACTGAACTGAACTGATTGGAGCTGAACTGAACTGAATTAAGCTGAAATGAATAGTTTATGTGAGAGCGAAATTAAGAGCTGAGCTGAACTGAACTGATTGGAGCTGAACTGAACTGAAATTAAGTAAATGTGAACAGACCCTAAATCTAGCAAACATATGTACATCCTCCATTTGTTTATAATTGCAATATACACTTTATTACGTACTTAAGAAAAGAGGATCTTACATGATATAATTCACTTAAAATGGAATTAAGAGGATGTTCAAAGTATAATTAAATGGGTCATGAACTTTTAATAAAGGTGGTAGTACAATTTTCACCATAAAAACCTTATTTTTATATTTTTATAATGTATTGCAAATAATGTGACATTTTCACTTTAAAAAAGAGTTGCAACTATTAAAAAAACGGAGGAAGTGCATCATATTTGTCTCTTTGGTTGATGAAAAACAAAATCAATAATAAAAACCAAAGAACTGGACTAATTACTAAAAACAATTACAATTTCCTCAAAAAAAAAATAAAAAAAAAAATAACAAATATATTACGGATTAAGATTTTTTTGACTTTTTGGATAGACACCAAATCCTCCTTCCTTCCCTTATATAGATAGAAAATATGTACTATCAGCTATTAATTTGTAAAATGTTCTCATAGAAAGCTATTATAGATAATCATCAAATTGCACACTCCGTAATAGACAATGATTAACTGCATATATTTGATTAGAATCGCACTAATAATAATAATACTCATTTGACTAGAAGACTAGTAGCTTACCGTCAAAATCAGTAGAATGTTGTACTTATAACTCATGAGAGTAAGAGTCTCAGATATATCATCACAAGCCTTATTGATCACTTTGCTCAGTTTGGCTGGTCCGCCAAGTACAACACTTTGGACAGCAGATTTATAGGCGGCCATAATACCTTCAACCCCAGCCTGTAAAATGTTAGGTATCACATAAGTTTGGGATGCGCAACTGCGTTTTTTATTTTTTATTTTTTTTTATTTTTTTTCACCTTATTATTGTCTTTGTTGCTGTATAAGTTAAAGCAGCCTTCCCCATCCATCTTTCCTCCGAAACCCCAAGCCGGAATTTGTTGGCTTGAGTCATAAGGTTCAAGTCCATCGCCAACTAACTTTATAACCTGCAACGTAACCATTATCAATGAACTCCTAAAGGTAACGATATTGTCTATATAAACAGCTTAAAGAGTAGTCAAAAGTATTTAAAAAAAAAAAGTTTTTATGTTCGATAACATATGTAAGATAAAAGTAAAGTGAGTTTAACACTTCGTAAGGCTAAGGGGCTAAATCTTCTTTTGTCATATGATTTTGGGATGGAACCTCCTTTTATATTACCTGCTGATATGTATTCAGATTGCCCGAGGGATCAATGTAGTGCTTGGATTTTGGGCTTTTAGGGTCTCCATTTGATACTAGAAGAAACAAGTAACAGAACAAATATTAGTTTGCTGACTCCATGTGTTAAATTAAATTAAATTTGAATCAAACCGAGCTTTTGAAAATTTATTATCAAAAGCACTATAGCAATCATAATAAAATGGAGTTTTAACAAAAATAATGTACCAGTAAAATCAATAGCAACCATTAAACGGAGCTCAAACCCTTTAGATAGATAATCACAAAAGGTAACTGGTTGTATTACTGATAAATCATCAACAAAAAGCTGGGGCGCGATAGCCTATGACAATCAACATCAATCATTCAATCATCAACATATTCTCATGTGGCAATTAAAATATACGTATATTATGGGAATCTTGGGAGACGATCCATCCTTAGATCTGCGTATATAAGTACCTTTCCTGGACCATGATCGTGTGGTTTATCAGATTTGATAGCAACCTTCTCACTATGAAACTGTTCTAGCTCTGATATTGATGCCTGGAACTTGCTGTTTAGTATCATGTACACAAATTGATTCTGTCAACATATGTAATATGCAAGAAAAGATGCATGTACTTTGAACAGACACACATAAACACAACAAAAGAATATTTGTTACCCAAACAAGGTTCCGCTGTTTTTGTTGAAAACTTGGATGACTAATGGATAATCCTGTGAAAAATTTAGGAATTTCTTTGTTAAAGCAATACGGAGTACATACTATAGACGAACTAAATTAGGAGCATAAAACATTCTCAATATATTACTGACCTTGCTAAGAATTTTCTGCATACTAAGAGAGACACTCCATGTAGGATTCTGATCTGTTTTCACAACTTCTGCCTCATCACATATTGGAATAGACTCTCCATCAACCACTTTCAATATCTTCAGAACTTGTTTCTACAAATGTAGCGATAAAAAGTTTAGAGGTAAAATTAACCAATGCCGAATAAAAGCCTAAAAACAAAAGAAGAGAAGAATTTATACAAACCTTTCTAGAAATATATCGGTCGTAGAGTCCAATATCTAGAGAAGAACGAAATAAGATTTTCATATAAGTGCCTCTAGATGCGGCAGTCTCCTCTCCGCGAATAACTAAATTGTCTATTGGTTGTTGAAACTGGTAGTTGTATGGCTTTACAGTAATTTCCGTTTGACTACGGACGATCTACGCAAGGAGGATCAAATTAAAAAGGAAAAAGAGAAAACACAGAAGCAAAATTCAAGCCTCAAATGCTCCTCCCTGAGCGTACTTTAAGCTGAAAGTACTATGCAAAACCACATTTCATGAAACAGACAGAATGACAGATCAACTACTTGGTGGATTTTCTGTTAGACTTTCACAATGGACTTTAGGAAAAGAAGTGTGTACCTTTGATAGGTGACATCTGAATTCTGCAACAAGTCCCAACTCATGCAGCTGAAGTTCCTACATATATAGGAATACAGAGAAAACCGCTAATATAATGCCATTTAAGTTACTAGCTTCTAGCTAAGAAATTTAAGCTCCCAAAAAACAAGGCAAATTTGCACCAAAAGGCAGTAAATTTGACAGGTTGGGGATTTAGAAGTACCTTTGTAGATACTGTTTGAGATCTAGAATTGACATCATAGACTCGGACGCTGGTAAGGAGTAGATGACAGTTTTATTATTGTAGATCATGAAGGTTATAACAAAACTGTACCAGTGTGGAACGTTGAGAAGATATAATCACAGAAAGAAGCTTACGTTAGCTCCTGTAGAGCCCCAAACCGATAACAAATACAAATTTTATCAGACCAATAAAGATTCAGGTCCGAATCATTCATGACCTCCTCTGTACGACCAACCTCTTCAAGTTCACCTTCTATTGACGTTTTGAATAATACAGCCATCAGATATCTCTGCATTTAAGAAACAATTCTTGATATGCTATTTAATTTGGTACGTATAGCGCATGGTGCTCATGCATCCTTACAATTAGCAGAAAACTTCTGTATGAAAGACAAGCCTTTTATACAATTAGCTGAAAATTTCTGTATAAAAGACAAGCCTTTTATACAATTAGCTGAAAATTTCTGTACAATTAGCTGCAAGAAAGAGACCACAACTAACATACCTTTGAGAAGAAGCTGAGATGATCAGACAACTTTCTAGCAGATAAACATAGCTGCAACAAAATTTGAAACAAAGCCATCAAATCAACTGTATGTACATAATATGAAGAAAAAAAAAAGGAAAAAAAATTCAAACAAAGGATAAACTATTTAGTATGTACTGACAAAACCCTAATGTGATAGGAAGAATAGAACAAACTGTCATTTATTTTTTTCATTCACTAACTACTCCTCTAAAACACCTTCCTACTTTCCCTAACACTCACCCTTTTTTTTTTTTGGTATATTTTTTCTCCTTCCTCCCATTTCTTAATTCTTGTGGAATTTGTCAAATGAAAAAACAATATACTCATGTTCCTATTTTTTTTTATTTGACGTTTCACGATCTCCAAGACGTACTTCAAAACATATATAACTCCACTTTCATATGCGTAAAAATTATAAAAACTTGAAAAATATAAAGTGAGAAGAATTTAACAAGACTCCGTATTACTAAATTACGAACATCTCTTACCAGTTAATGAGAATTTATAGTTAAAGTTTTTGAAGTTTGACCCATTTATTTGTAATGGGGCGAAGAAAAATATTCATACTCTCTCAATTCCCAAAAATAATTCCCATTTGGAAAAAAAAAACACGAGGAATAAGAAATGAGAGGTGAAAGTACATGAAGTCTATACATAAAGTAAAATAAAAAAGAGTAAAAAAATGAATAGCATATACTCCCTCAGTTTTTAAATACTTGCTCCATTTCTCTATGTGCGGAGTTTTAGGAGAAATTTGAAAAGGTAATAAAATATGGAGGTAGTGGGTTGGTGGAACAATAAAAAATTGTAAAAAGCAAAAGTAGTGGAGAAATTGGAGGAGAGAGAATATGAAACTAAAAAATATGATATTTGATAGGTCCACTAGGTAAGATAAATTAATTAAATGTTTTAAAAACTTTCCAAATAAGGAAATGGAGCAAGTATTTAAAAACGGCCGAGAAAGGAAAGTGTAGCAAGTATTTAAAAATGAAGGGAGTAATACGCACATAAAATAGAATAAAGTACCTGCACAAGAGTGGTGCACAAATATTTAAAGAAACATTTGAGGGTATTGATGAGAGCTTATTATATACACGCGGGTAAACTGTATACTCATGTGTATTTTGTTCTCATTTAGATGATTGTTTTTTTATTTAATAATCAAATGAAGAGCAAACACTAAGCTTGAGTTAGTTGGGTGTACGGTATAGCCGGGTGTATATAACCAATTCTAGGTATTGACAGGTAATTTAGGATTTGTTCTCTTCACATTATAAAAATAAGTTTCACGTTTAATGATGACGATGAGAAGCAACCACCACAACCTACATAAATTTACTGCCAAATAATATAAAACTAGTAGTAGTAGTAGTAGGTAGGTGGTGGTGGCGGCGGCGGCGGCAACAACAGCAGTAGTTAGGTAGTAGTAGTAGTAGTGGTAGTGGTAGTAGTAGTAGATGCAATAGTAGTTGTAGGTAGGTAGGTGGTGGTGGTCGTGGTGGTGGTGGTGGTTGGTAGTAATAGTATCAGATCCAATAAGTTCATTCTTATTAGGACTTGTTCTCTTCACCTGAAATAATGAAATTTAGTCTGATTTTAATAAAATCTGATATGAATTTTTATTGTTTGATCTGGTATGATTTGATTTAATAAGTTAACTAAATTTTGACCGTATTTTATTACTAATCTATAAAGAAGAACATCATCAAAATGGATCTTTTTGGATTCGTCTCATTATAAACTTTTCAAATATGTATTTCCATAATTTTTGGTAATACGCTATTAACTATATTTAGCAATAAGTAAATGATAATTAATAGTTCAAATTTGGCATGATCTAAATGTTTTTGATCAGATCAAATTAAGGAATAAGTAATAAGTACCTGAAATGAGTTGAAGAGAACATGTCCTTATAAACTTAGATTAATTTAAGAGAAAACACCATTACTAGTGAAATGAAAAAAATATATATATATCTTTTTAGAGGAGTAAAATGCATTTTTGGGGATTCACCTTCTATACTTTTCATCCTTTGGGGACTCACCTTTCACTTTTCATCGTTTGGGGAAAACTGGTCACCGAAATTCAAAACTCCAGTCACTTAATAAAAAAAATTCTCCCTAAATTTGTTGATTACAACTGTCAAAGAGATAAAATTCTTCATATCTTATAAATAAACTAAAGGAACAACCGCTGACATCATATTGTCCACGTGGCAGCTTTATAAGAAAAATTTTCCCGTCTAAATAAAAATCTGACGTCATTATATTTTCTTTGGTTTCAAATATTAAATTTAATTTCTCCTCTCAATTTATCTATACGCTTTAATTTATTTATTTTTCTTCTATCACCAACTATTGGTATCTAATGCATTTTTCCCTTATGCTTCATCGAACAAAACTTTGATATATATTTTTTTTCTATTTTCCTTTATATATTAAATTTCCTTTATATATTAAAAGTTTAAAATCATTTTTTATTTGCTTAATTAAAATCGTATATTAAAAATTTAACATTTATCTATGTCCTTAAATTTTCATATCCGGTTTGTTCTTCAAAATTAATTTTATAAAATTAGCATTTATAACTAAAGCTTATGTCTCAATAACTTTTCTGATACGTAACCACCCTATATTTTAAAGAAATTCGTGCATCACACGGGACTAATCTAGTAAAATTAATCAATAGTCGTCCTTACAAAAAAATACATTGCAGAAGAAAACTCCAAACTGTTAAAAGATTCTCTAGAGCCCAAAATGTAAAATTGTAACTGATAACCCCAAAATGATAAACATTTCTAAAAAAAAAAAAAATAATAATTTAAAAAAAAAAAAAAAAATCATAGCATATGTTGTCATTATTACAACTCACAAGAGACAATATCAACCGCAATGTAACGAAAACAGTAAAAAGTACTTGTCTAAAATTAGTAAAATAAACACAAATGGACACATGATGTTCGGATCGAAGGAACATTGTAATATCATCAAGAAAGTTGCAAATTGCGGCATTAATATGAGATCGATAAAGTTGCAGATCTTATAATAATGTGTTTATTTTTTTAATCAATTTTGTTAAAAGTAAAAAGTTATTTTTAATCCTCAATCAACAATTTATATTAGTTAAAATAAATAAAGGGTTGAGATTTGATATAATAAGGTGGCTACAATATTTTACCTCAACGTTAGTATTCTGATGAGCTTTGTCGAAGTCATAATCGACAGCATCAACACCTTCGGCCACCGTAGTTGGCAAAAGCCCACCCACCTCCGCCACTCCACCCCTCACATTAGATAAACAAGCTCCCATTCTCTCTAAAAATTCTCTGCTAATCAGGTTCAAAAATCAACTCAAATCTAAAAGGAGGAGGAAGAAGGAAGAAGCAAATCTCTACTTGATCAGAGAATTTCAGAAAGAGAGAGAAGTTGGTGACGTGCAAAATGTGAATTGAAGTATATCGTTTATAGAATAATAGGGCCCCACCTAACACTTATTTTGACCCTTTTGACTAATGTTTTCCTCGATTTTTCTCGTTAAAAACACTCTCTAAACTTTTATTCACATTTCCTTCACCAAATTCTACCAAATTTCAAAGAGAAAAATGTGAATTGAAGTAAGGAGAGCGTTTTTAAAGAGAAATATCAGGAAAAAAAATCAATCAAAAGGGTCAAAATAAGCATTAGGTAGGGCCCACAGACAGAAAATCCAATGGGTGGTAATATGATCATTTATTTAATTTAAGGGGTGGTAATTCAAAATGAAAAAATAAACAAGTGGTTAGTTCGAAAATGGTTACATTTTTGGGAGATAATTTAAAAAAATTTCAGTTCATTTCAGTTCAGCTGAGTTTAGTCAATGAGGGTCTCTGATTAGATTCTTCTCAGTGTTTACGTGTTGAAATCTTCATCGAACTGGCTTCGATTCTTCTCAGTGTTTCAATTTCATCGGTTTTGGCGACGCGGTTGCTAAGGTTCATTTATCTTTCTTGTTCTAAGTGGTTCAATGTTTCGATGTTCATCTCCTCGATTAGATTTTACCTTTTATATGAAGGTTGTTTTATTTTTTTCTGGGCTTTCATGTAGTTTTTTTTATTGAATTTGATTTCAAATGATTTCCTAAAGCAAAGATGTTCGGAGGAATGTTCCAGAAGAAACCAAGCAAGGAAGAAGCTCTGCCGCAGCTTCGATCCCACGCATTGATGTTCGGAGCATGGGTTGTTGCTGTTCGGGTCACTCCTTATTTTCTTCAGTATTTTTCCAGAAAGAGGAGATTACTTTGGATCTTTGATTCAACCCCACCAAAATTAAGGTATTAGTCTTGTAAGTTTTCAAGATATTGACTTTATTTGATTATTAATTTCACTATTTTACGTTATATGGGTGTTTTAGATGTTAAAAATTTAATTTTTGCAAGGAGGAAGATGGACCCAGGAGAATTTTGATGTATACTAAGATTTTGGCATTTTAATAGGGGGTTGGATGTATTTTGGATATTTGAGTAAATTTCTGCAGTTTATTAGGAATATTTGGATTTATTTTGGATATTTGAGAACAATCCTGCAGTTTAATAGAAATATTGATGTGTTGTGTATACAATATCTGTTTCCTTTCTCTTTCTTGTTCTTATTGGTTCAATTTTCAACCCTTCTCTTGTTCGTATTGCTAGCGATCTCACAGTTTTATCTGCCGTAGCAGTTTCAAAAAGATAGAATTACTACAGATTGGGATGCTGTTATTGATGCTGGTATATGCTCTAAAATTTGAATTTTTGTTTTTAATTTTTTTTTGGTTTTGTTTTGTTTTGTGAAGAACTAATTTCAATTTCTGTTGGTTCATTGGTGATTTATCCTTGATTATGTCTTTAACATTGATCAATTTTTGCTAAATTTAAAGGATTAACTAAGTAGGTTCTATAAATTTTCATTTCTTGATTGAGATTTTAAGGGGTTTAGGTATATTTTTGTAATGTTTGTAGCATGTACATTTACCAGAAGTGTAAGTTTTTATCATTGGAGTTAAGCAATGGAACCAAATTGCTGCCTTGATTCTGTCGCAGTAGCTTTGCATGTTTAGCATATTATGGTAATTATTGTTTTATTCTGCCAGTTTGCCATTGCATTGAAATCAGTGGTTATCTGCTGGTGAGCTTGCTTTTAGACATGAGATGCTATAGGTGATGTTTGATGGTGTTGATTCTTGAAGTTTCAATTGGAGATTAAAAATTAAAGCTAGGATTGTTAGATTAAAAAGGATGAAAATGCATTGCTCTCAACTTCTCATTATACTTGGTTATTAGATGTAATTTTACAATGAAAGTAGGATGTTTTATTTTGATAATTTGCCAAAGTGATGAGGATTAATGTATATGTTAAATTTTCAAATGTGTGAGTGACTAAAGTTAATTAATTTAAATGTATTGAAGGGTTTAAATGTTTATAAAATAGATTTGATGAACGAACACTAATCTCCCCAAGTTTATTCATCACTCTTAATTAACTTCTTATTTCGTATTACATGAGCCTTTTGTTGTTTTTATTAAATGAGGTGAGAAAATATATATGTAAAGGTTTGTACATGTGGTATGTCTAGATAAGGGTTGTGTTCTACTTATATGAGTGTAATAACTTATCAAGTGAGTTTGGGAAGTATTAAGGAGGCAACAAAGAAGTCATGTTTGATATGATAGTCTCCTTATAATTTATTAATTTATACGTGAGAGTAATTTACACCATACAACTGATAACTTGAACATCCTTTATCTTTTCTACTGTAATATTAGCAGCAATTGCAGGTTGGTGCAAAATAATGCAGTGCTTGAAGTTAGTCTTGTGCTTCTATAACAAAAAAGAAAATTCAACTGCGTGGCCCTCCTTGACTCCATATCAAATTAACTACCGAAAAAGCAACCTGGATATCCTTGTTAGAGTAAAGAGGTTAGTCTTTCAAATATATTCACTCTTATCTCCTATTTTTGTATGTCAACTATGTGTGCCGTTTCCTGCTTAAATTTAATGATGGTGAGCACTGAGCAGGATCGTGATCCTTTGTATCTGAAGTAATGATTAGTTTTATTCAAAAGATTTGCAAAGTTAGATCATTGTTAGACCTTGCATTTCTATGAATCTCCATGAGTTTGTGAGGCGATGGATTCTAAAAGTATATCAAGCTCTTCTGTTTGAGAATATTACAATATACTACTCTTCTAGACTTTTTGTTCTCGAGCACTTCAATTAATTTACATCTCTGCTTGCTTACTTTATTTTCTTGATTGTATGTATTAAAAGCCTGTCAATGGCCCAATACTCATTAAAGCTTAGAGAGTAGTCATTACTTTAGGAAAATACAACTCATCACGATCACCAAACAACGTAGTCATGACCCGAAATTGAATATTGTTTATGTCATTTGTCATTTATGACTTTATCTACTCCTATAACAAATAATGTGTGCTACAAAACTGACAGAAGTTTCTGAAGTGCACATAAGGAAATAGATGACTTAATGTTCCGAAGATTCCTTTTACTTGTAATCTTGTGAAGAAGACGGGTTCCATGTTCTTAAAGTGTTTGAAAAGGAGGCAGACTTTTCTGCCTAAAGTTTGTCATAAGATAAGAGAAACATTATGACCTTTCCCATAACAAAGTTAATCTAGGAGGCATAGATAAAAAAAAAGGACACCCTACTATGATTGCGTTCGTAGGTGGGCATTACCTAAATGCCAAATCTGGTCGGGGGTCTTGATGAGTTTAAGCGTACGTCTCTTCCTGTTTCTTTGACTATTTAGATTGCTCACTTATACTTCAGTTGCAACTATCTACATCAATGTTTCTGCTATTCATACTTGTTCTGTGTGTTTTTAATTATACAAGTCTTCTTGTATAATTCTTGATGATTTATGAGCAATAATGTACCCCTTGAATCTGTCAGCTAGCCCTGATACAACAACTGAGTTGTAGTAACTCTAAAGTTGATGTAGTTCTCACTCGCTCGCTGTGCTTTGTTGAGTTCCAGGGGGAAAAGAGGAGAAGATCGAGAGGAAGACCATCTCAGAGAAGTTCTCAAGCACTCTGCTCAAATGCTTTTGGAGCTCCAAACCTCATAATAAGTATCTGTGAGTGACTTCTTGCTTTTATGGATTTTGCAGGTTTTTTTTTTGTGCTTGTATGAATTTAACTGTATTTTATAACTATCCTTATTAATCTTTAGAGAAAGATTTTATTGACTTACAAATTTCTGAACATTTAGGCTTTGTTACTATAAATAGAGAAAAAAAAAATTCTTTATTTTGTATAATGTAGCCATCAAGCTTACACTCTCTTTTTCTGACAGCTCTTGCTAAATTGTTGCTTCTTCGTGTTTCTTCTGCACATCCTATATGCCTTGTTCTTGAGTAGGCTTGGGATGAAAGCATCATTGGCATTCCAGAATAATGGTGCTGAATGAATAGTGGGTTCTATGAATTGTTTTGGGGTTTATTTCTTAAGATATACTGCTTTGGTAAAACCTCTCATCTTATGATGCTTTGCCACATTTATATTTAGATTAGAGAAATTGGCAGCACATTATTCTTTTTGTCAAACATGATAGACAATGAACTTGGTTATTGCTTATATGGGTGTTTTAGATGTTAAAAATTTATTTTTTGCTTCTAGCTTCCTTCAATTCGTTATATGGATTTTTTTTTTTTTTTGGGTTGTGCTTGTATGATTGTTTACTGTTTTTTATAAGTATATATTCTCTTCTCCTTATTATGTCAAATTTGGTGATAAATTCAAATGGATTTGGTGAATTAGTGAGTGAATTGAATGAATTAGTATGTTGATTTGTATCAGTTCCTCAATTTGTGGGTTGTTTAGCTCTAAGACACTGAAGAATGTTTTAAGTTTTTTCTTTTTTATTAATTTTTTTTTGCATTCCTCACTTTTCCAGTATTATAGATTTTGAATTTAATATGAAAAACTCAAAGAGTTTGCACATTTTCTGAAAATGCAGCAAGTCCAAATTTGTTCAACAATGTCGATTTGTTTCCATCACATTCCTGTCAAACTTCCAGGATTAAACAACAAAAAGGTCTGGATAATTTCTTAATTGTAAGATTATTATAAGAGTAAGCTAATAATTAGGTTGCTCAGTTTGAAAAATGATATTTGTATGGTGTCTGGATTACCCTGAATCATTTTATTTCAATACGCATTTTAATCAGTTTTGCAGACTGTCTGGGTCTAGGAGGGAATTGACAATAGTCTCCATGTCGTCAGTTGCTACTGATACGGTGAAGGACGTACTTGCAGCGAATTATATACCTGCAGCTCCTATACTTTTCCCCGAAGGACCGTGGCAGCAGGTTACTGATTTCCGAATTATATTTGTGTTTTCTTGTTTATCCTAAACAATGTTATCTAATTTACAGCACATGGAATGGTACATGAATGCAGTTTACTATTTATATTATTTGTTCAAAAGTGTCACTATTTTATAAGTTCTTAAGTGTTTCATTGTACCAATTCGCATGTTTATGATCGTAGTTTTTGAGGGGGCTGGGGAAGTGGGGTTAGCGAATTAGGTCATGATGATCCTGAATATTGAGTTAAAAGGATAGCAAGACAGATTCTGACGTCTATTTCCATATGTGAAATGAAGAAAGAAAAGCTTGAAATCTCAGTGTTTAGTTTCTTTTGTAGATTTCTGGGGGAGGTACAGCTGCGAAGGGATTCAAGGCTGCCGGTATTTATGGTGGTTTGAGGGCCCAAGGAGAGAAACCTCCTTACTTACAAATTTCTGAACATTTAGGCTATAATATGAATGCTATAATAATTAACTTTGTTTCTTCCTTCATTGTTTCATCATGAAGATTGGTTGGGTGCTATTGTTTCTACTTTTAAGGTTTTGTTCATTTCCTTTTTTTTTCGTCATATTTCTTGTACCTTGATTATGAACGATGCTTTAATTTCTATCTATGCAGAAATGGAGGGTGACAAATTATTTTAGAATTTTGGGGTGGTTTCGATTCAGTTTGGTAAAAAAAACTCGGATTATGTTCCCATGCATCTTAAAGCTAGGGTTTTATTTATTTATATATTTGATTTAGATCATTCAGTATCTAATTGATTATTTTCTATAGGAAGTCTGCTGGAATATCAGCTCCAACTGTTGGAAGAGTCGAGAACACTCATTATTACCATCCTGGAATTGTTGCTCCTCGGTAAATTTTCAGTTTTTTTATAAGCCCCAAATTACTATAATTATGTTGCCATGTTTTTAATAAATACGGGAAGATAGAAAGATTGCAAAATTAAACAAATTTTTCTTATGATTATAAGACAAAGAGGGTTCTTAATTCACTTGGAATAGAGTAACAAACCTTCTTTCGATCTTATAATTTAAGTTTATATTGTGGATATTTAACCTCATGTAAAAATCCCATTTTGACCTTTTTTTTAAAAAAAATTAAAATAAATTGATTTCTGCTTTGTTCGTGAAGAGAGTAACAGGGGAAATGGGGAGATTGAATGGGATCTAAAGTGAAAAAGGTTAATGGCTAGGGAAAGAGCAGCATTAAGTGAGTTCTTCGATCTCCAATGCCTTCCCTTTTTAGTATCCTTTTATTCTTTGGCAAATATCTTTTTGGTTCATTTATGTTTACTCTATTTCTCAGTTTTTTTTTTTTTTTTTTTTTTTTTTTTTTTTTTTTTTTGTGTGTGTGTGTGTGTGTGTGTTTTTTTTTATTTTGATGAATTTGATTTTTGAGATTTGGGTTTTGTTTATTTATAGGTATTGTTGGAATTCAGTAGAGGGGAAAAAATGAGTTTTGTTGTGCAATTTAATCCAAAATGCTCATAGTTAAATCTGGTTCACTTTTGATTTCTTGATTATCCATGTTTATTTTGATTTGAGTTTCTCTATTTTGATGCGAGTATTAGTGAGCATTTGGGTAAACTATTACTCATACTTTATTGATCGGTAGCTAACATTAGCATTACCTTGAATTGAGAATTTGTACATGCTTATAATATGGCTGAAAATTGTTATTTATGAGCTATAATAAGCGAATTTATAGTGTTGTCAGAATATTATTAAATCTCTTAAGATAGCTCAAAAGATTGGTATTTTTAGTGTCGTAGATAACATAATTCTTTTTGCTAAGTAATTTGGTAAAGTTTGGACTAAAAAATATGTTTGATTACATTGTAATTTATTTACTTTAATAATATAGCCTCCATTGTGGATCGTTGAGTCCATTCTCGTGTATTGATGTATTTTTCTTTAGAGGCCAACTAAGTAGGAGATGAGTGGCATATGATTTCTTATAAACTATCATGGGTGCATTTTTAGAATATACCTTACTATAAAATTATGATATTTAATTTAATGTCTCAATAATTTTTATGGAGGAATAGGAAGTTGAATCAATCACTGCAAAATTGAGTTTTTTCAGCATTATTGATATTTTTACTTATACTATTTTTGCTTTTGTTATATGATAGGACTTCAGAAGAGGTCAAGAAGATAGTAGCTACCCAAGTTCAATGCAGGTGAAGGTTGGTCATGAAAAAGGCTGTGAGTCTACTTTACGAAGACTTAGGGGAAAGGAATTTGATATAGTTCATAAAGCAGCTCAAATCAAAGTAATACTCATCATTCAATAGTGTATTAGAGAACTTTGTGACCGTGTCTCATTCCTGCTCCCCTTCCAGTGAAAGGATTAATAATCAATGTGTTATGTTTGCATTTTTCAGCTCATCAAAAGAAGGTCGAGGTCTAGGCCGAGTATCTGCTGGTGGAAACAATTGATTGGTTTTGTTGGGTGTTAAACTTTTAACAATAAATTATGGGTACTGGATAATTTTTGCCATGTTTTTTTGTTTTTTGTTTTTTTTTTTTTTTTTTTTTTTGTGAAGTTAAGTAGGCAATCCATTTCAGTGTTTTAGCTTAAGATAGCCTTAAAATGTCCTTGAATAGTTTCTTGCATTTGATGTTACTCAAATGGATATTCTAAGAATTTAACATTAATCGTAATTAGTAGCTATGTTTTTCCATTTGTATGAATGTACATTTTCAATTTCGTTATGTGCGAACACATTTTTCTATATAGCAATAGATGGATTGCCCAAATAGCATAAATTTAACCAACCAACAAACAAGTTAAATAACCATACAAACCATGTAATTTCAATTTTTTTTATTTGTTCATTGTTTTGTTGGATGAATCTCAATGTGTGTATGCTAAGAACATTATGTAGAAGAGTATGATAATCAAGGGTCATTGTACTACCCTCGGCTTCTTATTGATGCTTAAGAGTTCTTACAAGTTATCTCGATATTTGTTCACTTTTTCTTGGGGCAATTATAACCTGATTGGTGTTTAATGAAAGCATATAGTTGCAAAATTGTTACTTTTTCTCCGTAACAAGTAGTACAAGGAGATGAAAACTTTAACAAAATTCAAGATAGGAGTAAGAGATACTCAAAATTGAGAACGTAGAACTGTAGATGAGAGGATAAAGGTGAACACACACAAAAATAACCCATTGAAAAGGGGGGGGGGGAGAGAGAGAGAGAGAGAGAGAGAGAGTACTTATTAAGTATACTTATTAGAGTGTCATTAAGGAGAAGATGGCACTACATTTTAAAGTAGTCAAAATTACAAAAGACGAGTAAAATAACGAGAAAGCTAAAGGGAGAGAAAAAAAGAAATAGCAAGATAGGGGGACTAGATTTTGACAACTGTATTTGGACACACTTTTTTAAAATAATTAGTAAATGTTATTAATTAAATAGCGTGATTTCGTGACAATTGAGACATCTAATTTATTAACACCTTTAGAATAAGAGTGCGTTATGTTCACTTGATTTTTACTTATATGAAGTTATCTGATTTTATTTGAACTTATTAATCCTTATTAAAACTTATTTTAGTAATAAATTGAACTTGGGTAGCCTTGATAGCTCTTATCACAACTCATTTAAACTTATTTTTTCTGAATTTATCTTATCTAAACTTATTAACCATTATATGAACTTATTTTTCCTGAAATAAGTGAAAATAAGGTCAACAGAACAAGGCCTAAAATTTTCAACATATAAAAAATCATGTTAGATTCATGATTAAATGTTTTTTTATGTTAATACAATCATAGTTATAGATAACTTTAGGAAGATAAAAAGTAACAGATAGTGTTTCGGGTGATTTTGTCCCTTGGGAGAGTTACGTCACGAAGTCTAATTCCGGCTGAGCTGCACCTGCAAAATAACGGAGACTCCGGGTGGTTGGAGCTCCGCCTCCGACGGTCAAGTTAGCGACTTGAAACGAAATAAAGAGAACGGAAATTTAGATAGGGATCTGCTCGGATTCCAAGCTCAAGTCTTTCTCTGATGTGAGAGAATAAGGGTGTAATAAATTATTCAATCTGTCCCCAAAATGGGGAAATATCTCCCTATTTATAGGGTCGTTGGGAAAAGTGCCCCTACCTAGGTCACTTGACCTAGATTTTAGTGGGTTGCGCCGTTTTTCGGCGCTCCTAGGAATCTGGGCCTTTCAAGGCCGCCATTTCGGAAACATATCTGAGGGCGCCAAGTGTCAAGAGGATGCTGAGCCACATGGGCCATCCTAGGCTCGACACGTGGCGACCTCTCATTGGTCCACGTGTCAAGAGGATGTTAGGCCACATGGGCCATCCTGAACTCGACACGTGGAGAGCTCTCATTGGCCCACGTGTCTAGGGTATAAATACCCCAAACACATAGGAAGGGGGAGAAGGAGTGGAAGAGACTCGAGAGAGGAGAGATAGAGAGAGGAAAAAATAGGAGGAGGTGGAGAGAAAAAATAGGGGGGGATGGGAAAGGAAGAGAGGGGTAGAGAGAAAAAAAAGAGAGGGAGCCAGGAATGAAAATTGATGGAAGAGAGAGAGAAAAGGGTTGGAAAAGAAAAAGAGGCCAAGAAAAAGAGAAAGAATAGATCGATAGACCGAATGACAATGTCAAAAGAGAAAGAAAGATACAGGGGGTTGAGAGATGAAGGTGCTAAAGAAAGAGAAGGCAAGGTTACGAGAAGGGGAGAAGGGAGATGGGCTAAAAGAGAAGCGTTCTATGAAAGAGAGAAAAGGTAAAATAAAATAGAAAGAGAAAAGGCAGGACATGAGCTAAGAGTAAATTAAAGAACATGTTATGGGATAGAAAGAGAAGGGCTAGGAGAGAAGAGCCAAGAGATGGGAGAGAGGAGCCAAGAAATGGGAAAGAGGATTTAGGAGAAAGAGAGAATAAGAAAGAGGAGTTGGGAAAAAAGAGAGTGAGATAGAGAGATAATGAGGGCCAAGAGAGATAGAGGAGGTCAAAAGATCGAATAAAGTTATAGTGCTAATTAGAGATAAGGGGGTATGAGGAAAAGAGAGAGAGAGGCCAGAAGAAAGAGGGAGATAAAGAAAAGCTGAGATAGAGGTCTCAGGGGAGAGAGAAAGAAAGATTGATATGAGAGGAGGGGAAGGAGGCGAGAAAGTACAATCTATAGTTTTAAAAGCCTATTTTTTAAAAAAAATGGAACAAGGACAAGAAGAATTATGATAGAAGAAAGATATGGAGAAAGAGTTTGGGGCAATAAAGGAAGGGAGAAATGTGAGCAAGTGAACCTTTAATTCCAAAGTCATTAAAAAAAAAGAACGGGGAGATAAAGTCAGAAAGGAGATAAATGTGTGTGTGTGTGTGTGTGTGTGTGTGAGAGAGAGAGAGAGAGGGGTTATTAATTAGTACTCTTAAAGGAATAAAGAAAATATATGAGAAAGAAAACGCATTATCATGCGTTTCATGTTTATACATACACAATAGTACTCTGAAATACTTATTTAATCAATCAACCAAATTAGAATTCAACTTACTCTATTGTATAAATCCCTTATAGATCTTTCCAAAAACACAAGAACATCCAATTTATGGTAATGAGAAAACAAATTTGAAAATAAAAATTAATTACGCGAATAAAAATTAGAATTATTATAAACTTATTAATTAAATTTAAATAAACTTATATCAAGAATTAGTGATTGTTTTAAACTCTCAAAATTTGATGATCCGAGCCGTATCCGATCCAAAATCTATGAATATTCGATCCAAAAAAAATTGGATATTCAAGATAATCACACACGATTCACATTAACAATAGAACAAATTATTTTTACAAAACATTAAATTAAGCTCCCCTAATCAGCATGTTAATAACACCCGAAACTATAAAACACGATCTCAATCACGAAGCTTACATATCTTAGTGTCGGGGGGGCACGCACGTAGCGCGTGCTCCAACGACTAGTTATGAGAAATGTCAAAACTATTTTTTTTACCATCTAACCTGTATACTAAGCAGAATATATATGATTAAATTACCTAGTTCAAGTAGAAGAATTATAAGCTATGCATGCAGCCTTCTAAATTAAGAACTGCATAAGACACTACATTCTTAACTATACTTCATGTCAAATGAATGATCAATTTACTTGAAGAAACGGGATAAAATAAGGTGATTCATGTCATATCTTATGGGATGTGGACGTTTGGTCGACTGATCGTGTTGATATAGGGCCGTCAAAAACTGACAATATACGATAACCCGACACGAAACAAGTGGGTTTAGGTAAAAAATTCTGAACCCGTTTACATATTTGGGTCGAAACGAATTCGACACAAAATTAAACGAGTTAGGTATGGGTTGAAATTTTCAACCCGAAACCGACACGCATAATCCGATTATACAAATGGGTTGAACGACAACTTGTCAACCCGAATCCAACAAGCTTAATTTATTAATTTAAAAAAAAAATATATAAACTGAATTTTTTATTCAAACTTGTAATTTTGTATATTACCTTAACACTATTTATACATTTATATAATTTTTTGACGGTTAATTTGACGAAAAAATTATACTCCCTCCGTGTTTTAATAAGTGTTACACTTACCAAATTCGGCCGTGTTTTAATAAGCTAGTGTTACACTTCCTTTTTTGGCAAAATGCTACATTAAAATAGTGGATTGCTAAATACCGCCAACGCTTTTTTATCAAACCGCCATCATTTTAACTAAAGGGACTTTCTTGCCTTTAATAAATATTTACCCAATTATTTTAAAAAAAAATTTAACTTTAATTAATTGACTACAATTACCGCGTCACTACCTACATCGGACCACCACCACTAATAGATTGACCACCACCACGAACAGAAAAGTTATCGGAAATGGATGATAATCACGGTGATTCGTCGGAAAACCAACCGCAATCTCAACCCTCGGCTTTTGAACAAGTACGATTATTTATTTAATTAGCTAGTTGTATACTAATATGATTATAAATTATGCTGAATTTGGAATAAATTATAAATTAGCTAGTTGTATACATATATGTTGCCGTAAAACTTGATGTGGAACCGGTCAACCGGTGCACGAAACCGGTCAACCTCCCTGGGAATCGGTTTTATGCTGCGGTTGACCGTAGTTGTTATTCGTTTTTGACCACCGGTTGGCCGTGTTGGTCCACCGGTTTTCCACGCAGGTTACCGTGGGCAACCGGTGCTGAAATTCGGTTATCCGTCACGGTCAACCGGTGGTAAAATCCGGTAACCCATGTTAGTCAACCGGTTTGCAGCTCCGGTTGAGTGTGGTGACGGTGCTTTTTTTTTTTAATAAAAACTAATATTATTGTATTAACTTTTATACTAGTATGAATAATATAAATAAATATTATTCTATTTAACATTATAATTATAATTATAATTATTAATGTTATATTGTTCGTTATTATTAATTAAAAGATTTATTTATTTGTATCAGGCGTCATTATCAGATTACGGCGGTGATGTTGTTGATTATAGCCCGCATTTTCAGACTAGAGAAGTTTTCCCGACCTATCAAGCAGCTGTTGATTGGGCTAGAGAAATTGCCACTCCATTAGGGTTCTTTTTGACAAATTCATCGTATAAGAAACAAAGAAATGGGCTTCCAATTAATTACATGAAATGTGATCGGGGGGAGAGAAACAGAGGGGAAAATCGGGACCGTGAAAATGCCACACGGAAGAACACGAAGAGCAAGGGTTGTAAATGTATGTCTCAAATCTCGGCTCGATGTTTGCGGGGCATGGAAGGATGGATAATTAAATCTAAAAAGGGCTTGAAAGGCATGCATAACCATCCGCTCATGGTATATCGAGAGGGTCACCGATAGGTTAGTGGTCTTAGTCCAGCTGCAAAGACGCTTGTTATTGACATGAGTTCTGCTGCAGCCAAGCCGCGTCACATTATGGAAGCCGTGAAAGAGAAGTTTCCGAATGAAAGCCCTAACAAGAGACATATCTACAATGTGAGAAGTCGTGCTCGTCTAGATGCTTGTGAAGGTCGAGATGTTGCGCACCAGTTTGTTCACTTGGCAAATGAGTACAAGTATGTCACTTGGATAAATGTTGATCCAGATATCCGTGCTATCACCCATGCTTTTTTGGCCCACCCAGAGATGGCTAATATGTTACGTACGTATCCACATGTCATTGGGATGGATTCTACGTACAAGACCAACAGATATAACATGCCATTCTTCGAGCTCGTTGGTGTCACGCCTACAAATCAAAACTTTTTGATCGGATATGCCATATTAAAGAGCAAAACTTATGAAAGCTACAAGTGGGTTTTAGAGAAATTGCAGTTGTACATTGGATTTGAGGTGGCTCCGAATGTTTTTGTTACTGATTGTGAGTTGGGGTTGATGAAGGCTTTGAAAGAGGTCTTTCCAAATTGTGCGCATTTATTTTGCGGGTGGCACATTAACAAGGATGTATTGGGAAGGGCGCACATTTTGTGTGGGAAGGATATGTTGATAGCCGAGAGATTTCGAAATGGTAGATGGAGAAGAGTAATGTATTCGACCACTATTGCCGAGTATGAGTTAGAGTTGCAAACTATGAAAGCGACATGGGGAGCATCGAACCCACCACTGGTGAAATACGTCGAGGATCAATGGTTGGTCTACAAGGAGAAATTTGCGCGAGTTTGGACGAATTTGGTGATGCACTTCGGCAATGTCAACACATGTAGAGTAGAGAGCCAACATTCCGTACTTAAACAATGGTTTGACAGTGCTACAGGAGCATTAGACACTATCTTCCGTCGTGTGCACAGCAACATTGAGGGTATGCTAATTGAGATTTGTCACCATTTAGAGGACTCGAGACGGCGAATGGGGTCACAACACAACATCATGCCTTTGCTTCATCTTAACGGCTTTATGTCATTTCGAGGTCTTGATATTTTACAGGATGAGTTGAAGAGGATGAGAGAGTTATCTGATGATGTGTTGGATAAGTGTGGGTGTGCGTTGCTGACGACGCACGGTCTCCCATGTGCATGCACCATGTGGACAACAATTCTTGTAGGGACAGGGTTGTATTTGGATCAGGTCCATCCATTTTGGAAAACACTAGTGATCGGTGAGGGCGTTGACATTCCCGTTTTTGCTGATGAGTCGGAGCTGGATGCAGCCTTGTTTAGGTCTTTGGTCGATGAGGTCTTAGATCGTGATCCAAGCTTTGTGCGGGGTATCAACCGGGTCCTATTTGAGGAGCTACACCGAGATCAGACTGATTTTACTGATCCAGAGGTCAACGAGACAACAAGGGGTCGACCACCGACAGGTCAATGGTCTACGTCTACTAGGCGTAATCGCAGCAGATTTGAACATATTTTGGGTTCTCGTGGCCATCGAGGTGGACGTAGGGTGGTCGTCGGGGTGGTCGTTCGGCACCGATTTATACAGCTTCAGGTTATTATTATTATTATTATTATTATTATTATTATTATTATTATTATTATTATTATTATTATTATTATTATTATTATTATTATTATTTATGGCTAATTTGTGCACACTTGTAGGGAATGATTTGAACTTGGAGGAATTCGCATATTTGGATAAAGTTCCAGCCTTCATGCTTCCATTTCTACGAGGGTGGAGTGATCCGCTTGGTGATGGTAACTGTGGATTTCGATGTGTTGCAGGTTTTTTCATAGGTGACCAGCATGAATGGATATTAGCTCGACGATCGATTGCAAATGAGGTTGGTCATCATCGAGACATTTATTCTCGAGTGTATAGAGTTGAACAATTAGATGTTGCAATCAACCGTATCACATGGACTGGAGGGAGGTGCGACACAGATCATTGGATGGTTGCTTTTGATGACTTGTTTCCGATTGCTAACTTTTATAATGCCGCTGTCATGTGTTTTGGTGTTGGTATAGATGGTCGTGGTGTGTTCCCATGCATCACTGTGCTACCTTGGACTGCTCCGTCAACAGCAACTGGTCCGTATAGGGAGTTTTGCATACTGTCTTTAAGGTGGCATTTTGTGCGATTAGAGTTTGAAGATAATTTTCCAGTTCCTCCTATTGCTACTACTTGGTTCGATATACGTGACGATACCATTACAGGTTGGGAGGATCGTTATCAACATAGGCGCGCTACTTGGAACACTCTAGCTAATAGTCAATGATGTGATTGATAGGAGATTTTATTACATTGTTAATATTGAACTCTTAATTTAATAATTTAAAAGACACTATCGAATTATTTTTTCATTTATCAACCTAATCTAATAATTTTTAAAAAAGGGGCAAATCTAATGATGTCCCAGTAATTATGAACTCCTGAATATAATAAATTATGTCCCAACAATTATTAAATCCAAATCTATATATCAAGCTAAAAAAAAGGTCCAAATCTAATTATCTCCCAATATTTATTAACTTCTAAATCTATAAACCAAAAAAAAAGGTCCAAATCTAATGATGTCCCAATAATTATTAACTCCAAATCTAATAATTTAAAAAAAAAATCCAAATTAACCAAATCTAATAATTAAAAAAAAAATATATCAAGCTTCTAACATGTCATTCCACAACTTGATTGCTTCTTGCGCCTCGATCACTGTGGGGGTGATGTTGCCTCCTTGCTCAGCTATGAACTTGCGTAATGGAGACATGAATAATTGCACCCACTACACAAATGAAATTAAATCGTGTAAGACAAATTAAATAACATTATTAAATGAATAAAGGTAATGAAATTAAATTAAAAAAAATAATTAAATCAACTTAAATATAAGAAATTAAATAGTGAAATAAACTTACAAAATCTACGTTTGTCCTGTCGGGTCGAGGTGGTGGGCCAAGCACTGCATCGGGACTCATAAGAAGTGGATGTGAGTACGTGTAGAACCAGCCCTCGTAATCATCAGAACAAGTAGGCTCCTCGTCCAACAATGGCAAATAGTCTGAGAGGGGTATACAGTAAGTCTCGACATTAAATCTGCCCCAAAACTGTGGTGCACTTGCAGAGCTAACCGCGTAATTTCGCGTCTCATATGCCGGCCGGCTCGCATAATCTGGTGTAAAACAGGGAGGAGGGATCCCCTGAACGAACCCAAGCTGTCGTACAACTCTGTCAGGGTGGTATGGCTCAACAATGTCTCGATATTGTATCCAACCCAAATAAGTAGTTCTCGGGACCGAATGAGCTGGACTCAAAGTATAAGGCCTCCAAATAACCTACAAGCAATTAAAGATAAAAAAAAAACAAATTATTATTATTAACTTGTAAATCCAAAAATTAAAATTTATAATAAATATTTAGCCAAAAAATATACCTCTCGATCGGTCATCTGCTCAAGGCGTCTACGAAAAGAAACTACGCGATGGTAGTCCCTTTCCTGAATCTGTGTGTCCCACCTGGCGGCTCGAGCATCAGTCGATGTTATGGCTAAACAACCCTGAACAGGTCGAAATGTAGGAAAATACTCGTAAATCCAAGACTGTAACAACGTCAAACACCCAGCAATCTGTTTGCAACCTATCCGTGAGGCAACGCCTAACTGCCGATACAAATAAGCAAGGGTAGCTGAACCCCATGAATAATGACAAAGTTGAACATACTTCTTCTTCACCTCTAAGATGCAAGAAGGAGGAATACGACTACCACTCTGATCAACAAAAATAGTGCTTCCTAGAACTAACAACAAGAAACCCTGCACCTGGATATCAGCATCACCTCTCTCTGCTAGGCATCTCTCATATATGGCCTGACTTGACACCCCCCCCCCCCGGTTATTCCAAATGGCTGCTGGCTTGGAAACAAGTTTGTCTGCTCCTATCCCTAAAAAATTCTGAAAGTCAGCCTTCAAAGACGCAACACTGCTTTTCTCTACAACAGCATCACCCTCCACAGGTAACCCAAGTATGTACTGTACATCATGGAGCATAATAGTCATCTCGCCGAACGGGAAGTGAAAAGTGTTTGTGTCTGGCTGTCAGCGCTCTACAAACGCTGAAATCAGGGCCCAGTCAATGTGATGATGCATGATGTTAACTAGCCACTCAAGCCAGTACTATCAACTCGTCTACGCACATCATCGGCCATAGCTCTGTGCGTGCATCATGTAAATTTGAGCACCATTGCGTCCTAGCTTGACACTTTAACACGTCACGATCTTTTTGCGGCCCCATCCAAATTTGCGTGGCGATGTGACCTGCGTAACTGGGTATGAGACTACCATCCTTGGGACCACCCGGCATTTGAGCTTGAACAAGCCATGAAGTATCATTCGATGCTCGGATAACACGAATTTTACGAGTTCGGGAAGTACCAACTCCAGTACTCTAAAATCTACCATCAGCCCTCTCTTCAAAGTGACTCCAGACGACGTCTGGCCTTGCTCTCCCATGCCTCCCCGGCGTCGAACAGATCTCAAACTCTCATCATCGTAAATCAAATCATTAATTTGATCCTCGTCCCACTCTTCCTCTTCCTCCTCCTCCTCCTTGTCCTCAACCTCACGTCCCTGAACCTCATCATCAACACATGCTCCATCAGCTATAGGAGCTAATGACCTCAGTCTCCTAGTCGAAGCAGTCACTGCACGAGTCCTGGTATGTCTCTCACCCGAGCCATCAATACGATCAAACGTCATTTTGAGCCTACCCAACTGTCGTCATAACCAAATGAACAAAATATTTACAATCAATTATAATAATAATGATAATAAAATAACTATAATAATCATAATTGTATAAAAAAAACAATAACAATCATAATATTAGTCCCTCACTTTTTCATAATAATAATGATGATAAAAATTAGTACTGTGACTGTAGGGAATGGTTTCAAGCCTTAAAAATCCCACTAGCTTGAACCCCACTGTGATCATACACTAAAGTACGGTGGCGTCCAAAAGGGAAGAAGATAGAGCAAAAGAGTCGCCAACAAGTTTTTAAGAAACTTGTAAACCGTTCACGAGGTGAAGGTTACACCCCTTAACGATCCAAGAGATCGTCAACTCCATAAGGTCATGAACCAAATAAGGGTTCGGGGATGAAGGTACAAATCCAACCTAAAAGAGACTGAACCTGCCCTAATAATAGGCCTCTACTTTATTCTGCTCGTATTCATGTGCGCTTTCTGACTAACATACAATCAATAGGATTAACCCTAAACCTGTTTAATCTATGTTGGTTGAATTTAATGTACAAATAAACTATTATTGGAGATCACTTGAATTATAATCACAATTAACCTAACAAGATTATTAATTATCTTATTAAGCGTGATTGCAAATACCAATTCCCTTTAACCTGCAATAAAAGGTGATCAAGCAATAACAATATATAATAATATGCATATCAAGCAACATAATAAATGATCATAATAAATCATAATCATAAATATTAGAAAGAACATAGGAAGCATCATACTTTTAATCACGCTTAATATTAAAATCACCCTAGACATGATACTAAGAATATCATAATAATAATATAAACATGATGTCTACATCATAAAATCAATTAATCAATAAAGTACTTACTTGGATGCCTCGTACCTCTTTCTAATTACAAAATACACACGTTAGTAACTTCAAGGAAAAATAATAATCAAAACAATTAAATTAAATAATTGAAATAGAGATTAGGGACCAAACCCTCAGAAATTAAAACCTTTCACGTCTAGGGCGAAGGCAACTTCGAATATGGCTAGGTGTATCAAGATCTTGTGAATGCGGAATTTTGTGTGAAAAATTAAAGTTTAGAAAAGAATGCTAAAAGATTAATGTTATTGAGAATTGATGAAAGAAAGATGATGAATGAAGAGAATTGAAGAATTAGATGAATGATAATTGGTGAATGACGAAGACTTAAGAATAAGGAGAATTGGTGAATGTTAGATGTAGATGATCCTTGAAAACGGAGTTTTTGATACGATATTTATAGAGAAAATCATCCAAAAAAGATAATTTATCAAAACAGAGTCTGAAGACCACAAAACTAACTTGGCGCCAGCCCTGGCTCATTGGCGCCAGGACCAGTGGCTAGCGCCAGGCGCCAATGGCTGGCGTCTGGCGCCAATCCTGATTCCAGGCGCCAAGGCTTGGAGTTGGACGCCAAATCGGCTTTCAACGCGTTTTCGAAAATCCGATAAATTTCCCGTACTGGAAGATAAAATAATATAATTTCAATCGAAAATGCTATTTGATCTTGATTAAAACTCTGAAGAATCCTAATTGAATTAAGAATGATAAAACCTTCTAGAATGTTCTGGAAGACCAAAACCATTCCTAATTACATTAGGAATGATAAATCATATTAGGCCCTCCCCTAGATCTTTGGGCCGTACTTAAAACTCAAACCGGGCCCAGTTTAGTAAATTGGCCATAAATTCCTCAATATTTATCGGAATTGGGCTTATAATATATCGTTGGAAAGGTTTTTGCAAGCCCCATCCAACTACACTACTATTGGACCCATATCATGGACCAACCAAACTGGATTGGCTGTTTTCTTAAAATAAAGTTTTCAAAAATAGAGAGAAGAGAAAAGAAAAGAAATAAAACTTTCCGCAACACTAGACCTTTCCACACTTTCGTTTCATTCGATTATGATTCGACGTGAAAGGTAATCATCACTGGTTTGGTTTTGGGGAGACACAAATGGGTGTCTACAGTGACCATTGTCCCTCACAGGTTCACTGTCCCTCAATTTTTCATAAAATATCATTGAGAAACAGTAATTGCCTGATATTCGAGCAGGGAGGAGCATCATGTGATCTATATGCAGTGTCAAATAAAAGAAAAAAATCCACAATTTAAGCTTTTTTCTCCAGCCAATATGCAACATTATCCATTAATGTGGAGTTCCTTTCAACATTAAGGCCGCTTAATTGTGCCATGTATCTAGATGCATAAATTCTAGCTATTACCCCAAAGTCAACACCGAATAGATCAAAGTTGTCCATTCTAACTAGACAATACCTAACCAAACAGTGACCAGGTCCTCTTCACTTAAAGACTCCATCTAACTAGAACCTTAAACTACTTTTAAGTCCACAACCTTAAATTAAACCTTCACTAGCTGCTTTCCTTTATCTTTCCTTGTTACAATTACAAATATTAAAACTTTAAATGATCATATTAATAAAATTGCATCCAATTCAAAGATGAAAGCA